TTTAAATAATTTGGTTGGGATTGGATCTAAAATGCAAGTGGAAGGTTTAGATGAAGCTAATATTTTTGATAACTCTGAAAGCTCAACTGGATCAAAATGGTTCAAACACAGATGAGGTTCTACAGTTACCTCTGAGGCTGCCTCACTTACTGAGGAAGAAGAAATCGCATTAGGGAGGATGCTTAAGATTTTGTTTCTAATAGAATTATTTTTACTTGTAAAAAATCCCATGAAGTCATTGCTGCTGAGGGCTAAGGGAATAGATGGCTCAGAGCTATGATTCTGTGTAAGTTTGGCAACTGTACTGAAAAGAAATTTAGGATTATTCTTATTCTCCTCAATTAACCCTGAGAAATAAGCAGTTCTAGTTTGTCAAAGCTTATTTTTATTAAGCACAAGACTATTTTTCCAGGATAGCTAGGCCTCCTTCTGGTGCGTAGAGCGCCATGTTCTCTCCAATCTTCTAGTTTTGTTTTAAAGCTCGTAAATGAGGATTAAACCAGGGAGCCAAATTCCTGTCCCTAATAACCTTTTTTAAAGGGGCAACACCATCTAATGTCACATGTAAATAGGAAGTAACATTATGAACTAAGGCATCAATTTGTGAGGGGCTAGAAATGAAAATATTGCCCTCTGCTACATTCCTCTGAGATGCAGAGGACAGTAAAGATGGAACAGTTGATTTAAAAGATGCAACAGCGTTGTCAGATAGAGACAGACTATGGTGAAATTTACTTTCATGTCTCGAGAACTCAGTTATAAAAAACTCAAAGGTTATCAGAAAGTGGTCCGAGAGGATTGGATTATGTGGTTTGTTATTTCCTCACACTCTATGCCATAAGTCAGCACAAGGTCCAATGTATGATGGCAGGAGTGGTTGGAGCTATGTATTCTTTGAGGAAAACCAACTGAGTCTAGGATATTACTAAAGGCTACATTGAGGCTATCATTTTCAATGTCCACATGAATGTTAAAATCCCCCACTATAATGACCTTATCAGTATTTAGCACCAAATCAGACAAAAAATCAGAGATCTGATCCAAAAACTCTGAGTAAGGGCCTGGTGGACGAAATAAAACTACAAACAAGAGTGGTTTTACAGTTTTGCAATCTGGATTAGGAAAACTAAGAATAAGATATTCGAACGAACTGTAGCTAGTAATTGGTAAGGGATCGATTAATAAGTCAGAATGAAAAGTGGTTGATACTCCTCCTCCTCGCCCTGTACTTCAAGCAATATGATGATTTAAATAATTAAAAGGAGTCGACTCGTTTAAACTAACATAGTCCTCTTGCTGCAGCCAGGATTCTGTGAGGGAGAGCAAAGAGATCTGATTATCACAAATCAAGTCATTAACTAACAAAGTCTTAGAAAAAATAGATCTAATGTTCAATAACCCACATTTAATTTTTTTAATTTTCTGCTCAGTTGAATTTGTTCTAACATTTATGAGATTTCCATGATTTGCTTTATTAAGCCTGATATTTAATCAGTGTGATTTTGGCCGTGGGCAGGACACTTTCTCTATGGGGAAGTGGGTGGGTAACAGTACTGAAGCTGCGGGGGGGTGGGGGTGGGGGGTGGGGGGGTGGGGGGGGCGTCTCTTCGCATCAGACCAGGTTTTCCCCCAAAAGATTTCCAATTGTCAATGTAGCCCACGTTGTTTTCAGGACACCACCTAGACAGCCAGCGGTTGAAGGACAGCATGTGGCTAAACATGTCGTCACTGGTCCGATCAGGCAGGGGGCCAGAGAAAATTATGGAGTCTGACATTGTTTTGGCAAACTTACACACAGAAGCAACATTAATTTTAGTGACCTCCGATTGGCGTAACCAGGTGTTGTTTCCGCCAGCGTGAATAACAGTCTTACTGTATTTACGCTTATCCTTAGTCAGCAGTTTCAGATAAGATTTACTGTCGCCCGCTCTGGCCCCAGGTAAACATTTAACTATGGTTGCTGGAGTCTCTAATGCCACGTTTCTGACTATGGAGCTGCCAATGATCAGAGTCGGCTTGTCAGTGGGTGCGTCACTGAGCGGGAAAAATCTGTTAGAAACGTGGACGGGTTGGTGGTGGCCCACGGGCTGAGTTCTATGCTTCCTGCGTACCGTCACCCAGCCGGCCTGAGGTCCCGGCTGCTCGGATTCTGCTGGAGGGTTGCTACGGGGTGGTTCTGAGCTAGTTAGCCCCGCACTAGCTAAGTAGCTACGGCTGTTTACGGGCTTTTCAACAGCGCGGAGACGGGCCTCCAATTCCGACACCCTCGCCTCCAAATCTACAAAAATGCTACATTTGTTACACGTACCATTATCACTAAAGGAGGCAGAGGAGTAACTAAACATCTGAACAAGAGATAGGAGATGGAGAAGCAGAGACAGAAGTAGCCATAGCCGTGCTGAGGCTACGCTAACTGGATGAGCAAACTGTTCAACACCAAATAAACTGCGTGCAAACTCAAACGGTTCCCTAAAAGCTAAGTGGAACAACAGAGATTGTGTGTTTTAGTGTGCTTATGTGCTACAATAACTCAGAGATATCCTACTACAGAGAAATTAAATCAGTTTTAGCAAGCCACAAACACCAAACAGCTACACATAGTGCAACACTGAAAACAGGAAACAGGAAACGCCTTACCGCCAGGGAGAGCATCCAAGACAACATTCCCAACCTGGCAGCCAGTCCTGCATTCACTCAGCATCCTAGACAGGTCATCCATGCACACATTAAAAAGATAAGGAGACAGATGACTGCCTTGCCGTACACCATTACGAACAGTAAAAGGAAGGGACACTGAATTCCCCCATTTGACAACCATGGACTGGTGGCTGTACCAATATACTAAAATCTTCACCAGATATTTAAGTACAGTCCTGTCAAGCAGTTTTAAAAACATCTTTTCGTGATTAACGCGATCAAGTGCTTTAGAAGCATCAATGAAACATGTAAATATGGTCATGTTGTGCCTGCTATACAGATCCAGAATTTCCTTTAAGGCAAAAATACACATGTCTGTACCCAGATTTGATTTAAATCCAAATTGGTGATCCGATGTAAAAACAAACTCTTCAAGTCTCGTCGAAATAGCCCTCTCCCGGACCTTAGACAGAGTACTGGCCAAAGCAATGGGTCGGTAGTTATCTTTACTGTTTATTCTGCCAGTTTTATTCTTTATAATAGGTACCAAGACGACTGACAGCAAAGACTGTGGTAAAATACCGTGAATTAAAAACCCTGTAAAACAAATGGCCAACAGCGGGTAAAGTTTCCTGCTCGCAAACTTTAAATGCTCTGCTGATATCCTATCATGCCCCCATGACTTATTATCCTTCAGCTTCATCACAATGTTCTTCTTGTACTGAAATAGATACATCCCTGTTGTCTCTACCTTGTCAATTTCAGGCGGATTACTCTTGACACAAATAAACAAATCATAAAAATGCTTATGCCATAACTGACTAATTTCCTCAGATCCAAAAGCCCCATCAACATTTGATGGTAGGGGTGTCCTACAAGTATTTATCCTTCTAATTTCTCTCCAAAATTCTGTAGGACTGTGGTTGTTTAGTTTGTTTGCTAATGAAGAATTTCTAAGCATATCATCATTCCTATCGATGTAACACAGGGCATGTTTCACCTTTGCATTAGTGTATCTTTTACATTCAAAGACTGGGCCCCTTTTTGTTTTCCCTGAGTCAGCCCACTGTCTATATGCCCTTCTGGCTTCTGCATAAAGCACTTCTACATGATCAGTCCAACCAGGCTTAGCTTAATGCTTACTATTTTTATGAAGTGGCCTACTCGAGGTAACAAGAGATTCTACAATTGCCTCATAGAAGAGGAGGCACAGCTCTCTACCATGCTGCACATTCCCACAGTTTTGTTTTGATTATTCTCATTCACAATGTGTTGTATCTGAAGGAGGGCGTGGCTTTCTGAGGGATGTTGTTAAATACTCAGAAACGTGTCAAATTTTGATTTGCCAAGCTTGGCCAAAACTCACAACATTGCAGGTTAATAAAACAATAATTACTTCCCGAGTAATTCAGCTTCCAGCTGACTCCCGATTCGGCCAAATCGGGAAAGAAGCCTCTTTTGAAACAAACTCCATTGACCTCCAGTCAAAACCCTTTTTATGACGCTGCAAGTGATTACAGACACAACAGCTCTTTTCAGAGCTACTTCAACTCTCATACTTCCACCTAGGACGCAAACAAGCATTCCAGCTCCTGTTGTGACTTGGAGACATCTCAAGACTGGACGGGTCGTATTGGAGTTAATCTACGGCTTCGGATACCTTGAGGTCACCTGACTTCTGACAGCCCTGGATCTGCACTGGGGGTCTCTACAAGGGTAGTAGACACAACAGATTGCGTCTGATGAGGTTTTTTTTTATCAATAACCAACTCTCTAGTTTATAACAAACAACAAATTGTTCATGGCCCCTGAACAACCAAAGAACCCTAGAATCTTCTGATTAAACATTCAAAGATCAATCAGGTTGATATTTCATATTTATATGGAATCATCACATCTTATTAGTCATGATAAAAAAAATGTATTCCACTACAGTAGTTCTAGAAACACAGGGTTTTTTATGTTGTTTTCAGTGATTGAAGGTTACAATAATAACTTAGGGCCGTTGTGTGTTTATGTGTAATCGTGTTATTATTTTTCTTCTTTTTCTGTAAGTGCTGCTATCACAGGTGAATTTCCTCACTGTGGGATCAATAAAATCTATTCTATTCTATTCTATTTCTAGTAGTTCAGTCTTGAATGAGACTCAAGACAATTTACTTAAGAAATAACTCTTCACCTTCCTAGATGTCTTAGGTTATACCAAATCAAATTTGTTGCAGTTCTCTTTTCCAATCACTATCAAAATAAATGATGTTGCTAATAATATAAATTCAAAGCATATTTTCATTGTTATTTATAAATATTAATAATAAAAATTGTCCTCGACAGTACCTGAGAAATGCCTTTTCCCTCTCTTTTAGTTTTACTGTCTGAAGCCAGACCAGGAATGTAATGAAGATCTTCCTAAACTTCTGCACAGTTTCTGCCCCCACTTTGATCACGTGACTCATTTAGAGATATGTAAACATGGCGACAAGCTGCTCCTCCTCTCATCGTCTTCAGACTGCAACGTGGCACTGAGCTACCTATCTGGGGAGACCGTTGGTTTGTTCGGACAGGTAAACAAACACTCAGCACATTTAAATCAAACCCTAAATTATGACACATCTTTAAGTCAGTTTATCTCATTTGGCTATATTATTGTTCTCAGCACCGCACTAGTAGCAGCTTTGGATCCTCCTAGTCCAGTTGTGCAGGCTAGTTCAAATAAAGCCCAATCTCTGTTTCTGCAGCATGCTGGTGTGTGGTACCATCCACGCTGAGGAAATGTGTGTGAAATTTATTGTCATGCCACGATTAGGCGTTTGTGTCAAAGGAGGGACTTTATGAAGTTAGCCCGGGGCATCAGCTGCTCAGTGTTGCCTTATTTCAGCTTGCCTCAGGCCCACACACACAGTGAAACAAATTAACTCAGATAAACTCTCCCCATTCAAAAGAAAAAAGCAGAAATGGGCATCTACACATAGAGCACAAGTAAAATTTAACATGACAGAAGAATATCTGAATATATGTTGCTGGTATGCTGAATATTTAATGCCATATTTATCCTCTTCATTCTTCACATTATTTCTGTCTATGCCATTGAGATAATTCACTTACTGTCTATTGTTTACTGAGAGAGGAGCTCTGCTAATGAGAGTTTACATCCATATTCAACATCTCAGGTTTATCAACGGGCGCACAGTTAATTATGAATATGTTTTGTAGCAGAGACAATAGTACAGACAGAGACAGTAATTCATATTAAAGAGATTTCCACTATAATTGAATTTGTCTGTTAATTCTAATTAAAGCTGCAAGGGCAAATTTGAAAAATAAATTAGCTTGAAACATTGTTTATGCCTCTTAACAATCTATAGTGTAGCTATAAATATATTGTGGAAATTTTAAAAAGTGGTTCTCTCGCGTTTGTCTTAAATCTTCTGACAATAACACATTTTGGACCAAAAGCAACTATTAAACCATCCTCTTAGGTGTGTTCTTGCTGTGTCTTTCTAAATCCATGCTTTCATTCTTTTAAAACACAGAAACAGTTTTGTTTACCTGTTTGTAGCTACAGTTTCACCGACGGCTGCCGGCTTCTTCAGGCTGACGCTGATGGTGGCGCGTCACTTCCTTCTCCGTTTATCTGCGGGCAGCAGAGGACGTTGTCACCCTCTACTGCCCGCTCTCCCCTCTCCGACGATGCAGTCCCATGCGTGGTCCAGAGTGTAAACTCCGTCGTCCCAGTTCATGGTCCCACATCCACGTCTCCGACGGAGTTTACACGCTGGACCACGCATGGGACTGCATCGTCGGAGAGGGGAGAGCGGGCAGTAGAGGGCGACAACGTCCTCTGCTGCATGCAGATAAACGGAGAAGGAAGTGACGCGCCACCATCAGCGTCAGCCTGAAGAAGCCGGCAGCCGTCGGCGAAACTGTAGCTACAAACAGGTAAACAAAACTGTTTCTGTGTTTAAAAAAGAACAAAAGCATGGATTAAACCATCCTGTTGTCAGTCTGACCGAACAGCCACACGTCCCCAGGGTCCTCCACTCATTACGCACTCGTGTCTAGCAACACAACACCACTGGTGTGAGAGGCTCATTAATATCAGAGAAGGAGAAACAGCCAGCTGCTACCACTTCAAGTTTAAGACAAACTACCAGAGTCCCAAAAAGAAAAACACCATTTGAAGTCATGGATAACAAAAGATGTTTGGACTTGGAAAACGGCGACTGGTGTTTAGCCAGGGGCGCAGATAGGAAATTCAAACTGGGGGGACAAAGTTCCAATGTACCCTCCCCCCCCCCACACACACACACATATACACACACACACACACACACACACACACACACACACACACACACTCACACGCACATACACATACACATACACAAACTATTGCAAGCGCCTTAACTAGAGCTCAGTCAGTTTGTGTAATTTCCTCCAACGGTTTACGTAAAAACTAACTTTTATATACGTGTTTGAAGCCATTGTGCAGTGGAACGCTGGCAACAAAGCTCTGCCTGATCAACACTATAAATGATAAATGATCCACACTTGTATAGCGCCTCTCAGAGTAAGGACTCCAAAGCGCTTTACACTACAGTGTATCATTCATCCATTCACACACACATTCACACACTGATGGTGGTGAGCTACGATGTAGCCACAGCTGCCCTGGGGTGCACTGACAGAGGCGCTCCACTATTTAATTCAGTCATTTGTTATTCTTCCAATCGATTACTAACCAAAACCTCATGTTTTATGCAAAACATTAAATGATTTTCAGCATACCAATCTTTACAGAAAACATAAAAGCCCTAAAAAACTGCACATAAAATATATTTAAAAAGTGACATTCACTTATCACTTAGATCAGTAGTTCCCAAACTTTTCAGCCTGACCAACAAATGTTCCTTCATATTTTTATGTTATTTAGAAATTTTCATTATATTTGGAAAGTTTTTATTTATATATAAATACATGTATATAAATCTCTTTTTGAATTTAATATTTTACTTTTTTTATGATTATGTGGCACACTTGACTTTCATATAAAACGCATCAGCATCTACCCCTTTTTCACTGCTTTTTTTACATTGTCGCTACGTCTGTCACGTTTGCGGTGTTTTTACCATCATTTCTACATCCATCACGTCCCAGAGAAGGTTAAACAAACATCAAACCCAACATTTGGAGCTTGTAAACTCCACACACCTCTCGTGCAGCACCAGCTGTCTGATGCTGCAGCAGCGCCAATCTTCCCGGCTGGATGAGTGAATTTCTTCATCAGAGTCAATATTCTGCTTCATAATCAGAGTCAGTCATTACCAGACAAAGTGATCAGTCAACAAAGACCAGACCTGCCGGCAATTATACGTTTTATCTCGTATTTGTGCTCTTCATGTTGCGTGCATCTCCTCCTCTCCCCGACTGGGAGCCTCTAGGCGGGAGGCGATTTTCAAACTCTAAAAACTCCCAAACTTTGCCCAGCCTGAATGTTACACATCTCCGCTATCTTCTGGTGTAAAGTAGTAACTTCATGAGGGATCATATTTGTAGATGAGACTTGTTAAAGTCAGCAATGAGGCTTTGGCACTTATAACGATTAAGTCCCAACACTGACAACAACGTACTGAAACTAGAACCAACGTGCATAAACAGACAGATCGGTCCCGCCTACTTACACTGTTGGTCTTTTTTAAATACGCAATAATCGTTGCTTGCCTCTTTCGCTTCATCCTGCATCCTAGCAGCAACCACTTTGGTGCCTCTGGAGTCTGTGTTTGTATACGACATGCTGCATTCAATGTAATTGGAAAAAGGAGCTTCAAGCACTTAACCTCCGATTTTGTTTTCTTTCTGGCCTTAGTTGGGGGGGACGAATCAGGGTCGATCTGAATCTGGGGGAGACAGATCCCCCCGTCCCCCACCCTATCTGCGCGCCTGTGTTTAGCACCTCGTTTTTTCTGGCATCTTGGGTTTCCGGTTCCGGTGTTGGTACCAGATCGGCTCAAGGTACTGCGTCTGCAAAATACGTCACAAAAGATGATTTGCTGAACGTAAGACTTATGGAAGTTACGATACTCCGTTTGTAAAAGTTACCTTAGCACGTTGACAATGAAGATTTTGATTGGTCAGAACAAATTTACAGTTGTAGTCTTTGCGGTTGTAGTCCTGTAGTCCAAGAATCAAGACTTTTCAGAGAAAATATGTTGGAATTTCCAAAGGAAATGTAAAATAAAAGCAACGATATCAACTGATAAACAGTGACCCTCAAAAGCTCTTGATTTTGATGAAATGGGGCAAAATAAAATATAAGATCTTTATTGAAAAGACACCAAGCAACATTTTAAATGAATGAATGAATTTATTTACGTAACAACTAAGGAAATATACAGACAAATTCCACATTAATGCAAACAGATATGGCTTCACATATAAGAACTGTTGGTTTTATGTAGTTTCAAATTCTTTAAAAACAAAGATAATATAGTGTTTTATCAACAATTACAATTCTAAAGAAAACATTTAGGTGGTGACAAACAAGAATTTTTTTCAACAAAACTGCTGATGTCTTTCCAAAACTTAAGGGTGAAAGCCCAGTGGATTTGCTGTAATGTGACATCATCAGCAGGCGCAGGACCCCGAGCCGATCTGGTACCGACACCGGCACAAGCGTTTCAGGGAAGATACCTGAGGGCAGGGGTGAATGTTTTATATCCGTGTTTGCATTCAAACCCTAGCTTGTTTTGCAGATTCACTATAACAGCTAGCTTCATAGTTCATGTCTGATTCCTTTCACTGTCTCACTGTTGACCATTTTGTTTTATTTTTCTTTACAGAGGGACTGTTGGAGCATAGGAAGACTGTACCCTCTACAAGACACAGACATGAACCACAGCAACCACACAGAGAAAGAAGATGTCACACCCAAAGTACCACAAAATAATGTTGAGCCAGGGAACAGAGCCAGGGCAGTCGCAAGAAGTGGAAATATTTTGTGAGGCTGTGATACAGACGAAAGTGAACAAAAGTAAAGAACACGTTTCCAGGCCAGGAGTCAAATCTGGATTGATGAAGGCTGTTGTGATGAATTTTTGGACTGAAAAGGAAAAAGTGTCACACATTTTTCTTTAGAGAAGAATCATTTGCAAAATGTTATGGCATACTTGCAATAAGCAAAAGGGCATTGTCTGTTAGCCAAGCAGTAACAGTAGTTAGTAAAAAAGCACAAAATTTGAAACTTTTCATGTTTCTTATGCCTTTAGTGTGTTACAGGTGTTAACTATAAGTGCCTTCCGGAGTCAGATCAAGTTTTATTGTCACTGTTACTTTTCTCCTATGTATGTTTTATTGTCGCATTTGCATGGGATTTTGTTTCTGACTCCACACTTATGTCCTGCTTTTATCTTGTCCTTCGTGTGCACTGGTCTTTTTCTAACTGTTATGCATGGTTTTGTCGGTGTGTTTATATTGTGTTTTTTCATTGCTGCTAATATTTTTTTTCTGTTATGCCTTTTATGTAAAGAAGAGTTTCACTGGTTTTGATTGTTGTCTTTCTAGATTTCTGTTGTTTTTGTTTTGGTTGTTCTTTTTTCTCTGTAGTTGTTAGTTTATTTCCGTTGTTTATTGCCCATGCTGGGTACCTGCAGGTCTTTAAAGCATTTGTATATATTGGTGCTCTTGTTTATAGTCTCGTTTGTCTGTTACTATGTTTGCTCGGTGGTATAATGTTCTGATCACTGACATTTTATGTATAGTAGGGTGTTCTGATGTCTATAATAAAAATTGGTCTGTGTGTGTTGGTTTCTTGAATGTGTTTATGTTCAGTGTTGGGAGTAACGCCGTTTAAGTATAACGGCGTTTCTAACGGCGTTCTTTTATAGGTAACGGAATAATCTAATTAATTACTTTTCCCGCCGTTGCAACGCCGTTACCGTTACTGGGGACGGAACGTTGTGCGTTACTATGTGCTTGTCGAACGTTGAGCAGCAGTGTGAGGCTTTCTGACCGCCACACTTCAGCTGCAGCCAGGGAGAGAGAGGTGTCGGTAACGCGCTTACAAACACGATGATGATTGGCCGGGTGGGCGGAGACCCTCACGGTCTCAGACGCTGCATTCTGTAGACACAACGGGAATAACTCCGTTTAAAATAACCGCGTTAATAAAAATATTTCTTTCTGTAACGAGCAAACTAATTAATTACGTCTTCTTTTATCAAAACGTCGTTTCTGTTACTGATAAGAAAATGCGTGCAGCAGCGAATCTGCGGGTCTGCAGCCGTGCCCTTAGTGTGACAGCGGGACGTCCCGAAGGTCCGCTCACCTGTTCACCGCTCAGACGTCCTGATCTTCTGCCTTCCTAGATCATCCAGCTGTAACCTGTTTCTGATCATGTCTTTAGTCCCGCTGTAACACTGATGCATCAGTCTCAGACGGCATGGAGCTCAGGTGTTATTAGAACTACCTGTGTGTCTTTACCACCCAGCTTCAGCTCTTCTGTGGTTGGGTCTGACCCAAGTTAGTAAATGTAAGTCCTCCATCAGGCTTGTGCCTCTTCTAGTGTCATTTTAAAGGATATTTATTTATTTATTTAACCGTTACTAGATTAGCAGCAACAGAAATGCTACTAAAAACACAATTATGTGAAGCTGTAAAAATTAGAATGCTGTGCAAAATTACATTTATTTCTGTAATTTAACTAGACTGAGAGACCATTTAAAGGCTCTGGAACTTTTACAGGTGTTTCTATTTGCAATTTTAAATTTTAGCTGATTGGGTTTTTGTTAAATATCACACAGTGACCTTTTAATAGTATAGATAAGTGTAATGTTCCTATTAGTAGTTCCTCCTGTTAAGTGCTTATTTGTTTAAATTATTCAGGTTAATAAAAAACATTTGGACATACATTTTATTATGTTCAGTCATTAGTCATTTATATGTTACTATTGTAGTAATTCTTGCATTCTTTAATGACAAAAGTAACTAAGTAGTTACTTTTGTTGGTAATTAGTTACTTTTATGATCTTGTAACTCAGTTAGTAACTGAGTTACTTTTTTGACAAAGTAATCAGTAACTATAACTAATTACTTTTTTAAAGTAACGTTCCCAACACTGTTTATGTTTAGGGTCCCATCTTTTTGTCTGACGATTTTCATGTCCATGAAGGTTATGCTGTTTTCAGTTTTATACTCGTATGTAAATTTTTTTGTTGTTTGTGTCATCGATATTGTTCAAGTGTTCTGTTAGTGTCTCTGTTTGTCCTTTTGGTATGATCTCCAGAATGTTATCCACGTAGCGTTTCCATAATTTTATTTAGCAGTTTGGAGGGGCTGTAGCTATGGAATTTTGTTTTAAATCCTTCATTAAAGACTCACAAAGGGTTACCAATGGTGAAGCCTTCTAGTTGTTTGTATATTGTTCTGTCATGTATGAAGTTTGTGGGGTTCTGCTTCTGAGTTCCTGTTCTGCTGCCCTTGGATAAACGGAGAAGGAAATGATGCCACCATTGGAGGCTAGCTCTGATGAAGACTTCAGGAGTGGTTGAAACTGTCAGCAAGGTAAATAAACCTTTCCTGTGTTAACAAAAAAACTAAAAATGCAATCAGAAGAAACACACAGAAGGAATATAGATGTTTAGCTTACTTGTCGAGCAGAAAACCGGCAACAAAGGGGTCGTTGGGGAGCCCAACCTTTGCTTTTAGTGCACGCCATCAAGAGTCTCCTAAAAAATCTCTGGTCTTATTTCTCACTTCGGAGGCCTTTCTCTTCTTTTCATTGACTTCAAAGACACTTTTTTTTCTCTTGCGACTGTCAGCTATTTTCAAAATAACCCTGTGAGAACGGCAATGAATGATGGCGTGTCGCTCTACACATAAACAGAATGCACATGCGCAGGAAGTGAAAACTGATGGGCTCGACACATGGGGGCGAGACTGCCTCTCCTTCATTCATTTTCAAGGAGACAGACACGACGATGTGATAATCACTGGTCTCTCTCCTGCTAAGCAACATACGAAAAAAGTGCATGTGAAATTTTGCGCTCGTGCATGTGTCGCACACAGGCGAGCCAGCGATGCAATCCCAGAAAGTTGAGAAAATTTCAACTTTTCATCGCTGTCTCTCGGACGAGGACTTATCAGCAGAGGTTTTATTGACTGACTAATAAGCGGACTTGATGCTTCTTGAAAGTTTAATGCTTGCCTTGTCACATTCTCTTCCATCTGATGGCCAGTCAGAACCACGGAAGACTCGCTATTCGCCCTGGACATGACACTGGCTTTTCTGGCTGGCTGCTGCTGGATGTTGCCTCCCGTGTATCAGATTTTTAAAGCGTTAGCAAAAAATGTCGCTGATCGCAGTCATTTGTCGCCTCCCGCATGTCGAGCCCACAACCTAGGAACGAGCACATTCAACGACGGCCTGGCGTGAATGCTTCACCAGAACGATTGACAATTAAGTGGACTAATGGTTCAGATGATCCACCCGAAAGCAAAAGATCCTCCGCTATATCTTAAATAAGGGTTAGGGTTAACTAATAGACTGAAAAAAGTTATGTTGTGAACAAAGATCATGAACCTCAGTCTATCGTGACTAAAAGCCATCCATCAGTTTCCTGCTAGTGTTTGGTTTCTGGAGTCAAGTTTAAAATGATCCATTTTGAAAAGTTCCTGTTTGTGATGTCACAATAAGCAAAATTACCATAGAACCCCCCTCACTTTGACACTGGAGGAGCAGCAGCTGTACTCCGAGCCTCTCCTGGATAACCAAACACCTCACCGCATAGTATCCAATCATGGGATAAGGGGGTGTGGCTAGCTCTAGCTTTCTTAAAGTGACAGATTCCCCGAAATGACTCACTCTGGAAGGTACTGAAACTGTCAAGAATAACCTGCTGAAATAATTTCATGTGAGAGCGATTTTGAGCAAATAATTTCATAAAACTGTTTTGTATAAACCATGGAACTAATACAACTATTGTAAAGTTATGATATGTCCCCTTTAAAACCCAACTATTTTACATGTATTTAAATAAGAATTCATGGAGACACTTTAAGGCTCAAGCTCAGGTCTTTGAGGGCCATCGTTTAGCATATTTTAGCTGCCTTCCTGCTCCAACAGACGTAATTCAGTAGTTTAAATGCATCCTATGCTAGCACAAGTTCTGCTGTGGGACCAAACCTAGTCACATGTCCTGGTTGCTCTCTTGTTCAAATGAAGGAAGGAATGTTAATATTCATGCCAAGTAAATCTTAAAATTTCAGTAGCTAAAAACAGCTCTTAATGGATCTTGTTTGCTGGTAAGAGAATGGACCACTGGATTAATCAAGGGTAGATGGAGGTTGCGGCAACAATTTTCTCCAAAAGGAAAAGGATGAAACAATCCAACAGATTTTATTGTTCAGATACTTTAAGGGTTTCATTATAATTTTATTATTGTATAAGAAATGAGAGTGATCATGTCATATGAATCCAAACCAGAGTAGTTTTACAAGGATAATGAAAATGATAGATGTGGAACGAGAGAGGAAAGTAGGGCATCTCTGTAAGCCCAAGGACAAGTGAAAGTACCCAATACTTTAGAGGAAGAATCAACTTCTGAAACACATGAAAGTGTTTTGTGTGTGTGTGTGTGTGTGTGTGTGTGTGTGTGTGTGTGTGTGTGTGTGTGTGTGTGTGTGTGTGTGTGTGTAATCAATAGTGGCCATTGTAATCTGTATGTGTGTGTACTGAGCACATCCCAAAAAGTTTGTGTGGATGTTTTAAGAGTGGAAGTGCCAATTGGCAGGTCCTGGTTTGGCTTCCAGCCAGCAACTGGGTATGAAGTGAGGAGAGAGAATGGTTTCACTCTATCTACAACTCTGTGTGTGTGTGTGTGTGTGGGTGGGGGGGACTCTAAATCGCCTCAGTACATCAGCGCAGCCCCCCCCCCCCCCCCCCCACACACACACACACCCTGCATGTTTAGGTTTGCAGGAGTCATGGATATTGATGGGTCTGGGCGCTCAGTCTAATCTCTGCGGCAACACAAAGCACTCTGACATTCACCAGAGAAATAAGACACACGCCGCTGTGTGACAGACACTCTCAGAGCCAAGAGCAGGATTTACTCTTTGTGTTTGTACACAGCTATAAAAATCACCAGAAATTCTAACAAACTGGATTAAAAGAGCAAAAGAGGGCGAAGACGTCTAATAAGGCAAAGCAGTGGGTGAAATTTAAATTGTCATTAAATTTAGCAGCATCTGCACTCACGAGCTTACGCACATGTGTGGGAGACGGAGAAGCAATTACAAGCAAGCAGGTTGATTTTGATTTTAATTGGAGCCCTCGCTGAGAGTTCCACCTGTTATTGTCGACAGCCAGCAAACATAAATGTGGGCCTGTCAGTTCTGCAGAACTTCTTCACTCAGCCTAATCGAAATTCCCGTGGCCTAATCATCACACCCCCCCAAAGCTCTAATAATAAATTGGATGAACAGTTTTAGTGCAAGGTCGTTAAAGGCAGTACTTAGTAAAATGCATTTTAGGAGTTATGCACATGTCACTGTGACTTTTCACACTTCAGCTACTATTCTAAAGCTTATTCCTGTAAATAGAAACATGCCTGTGAGCTCAAAAGTATCTTTGCACACAAACAGGCTGGTAAACTGGAGCCGGGCCCTTGTCGATACATCCCAGAGCCCCTTAATCAAGTGATGATGGAGCCTAATGATGGAGCTACAGGTCATTATCATCTGTTCACTGCACATAGGCTTACACACACATACATCTTGGCCAGATAATCAGAGAGATGAAC